CACTGCCTGTGTATGTGTGACACCAGCCCTGCCCCACACTGGTGCAGGCAGTAAACGTGACGCCTTTCTCCATATGGCTTTCATTACAACTTCATTTCATTAGGAAGTCAGTGGGGGTATTCTGCAGCATTAGAAAAATACTCGGAATGAGATCCACCAAGTTGCTTACAAACTCAGCAATGCTCCCTTCCCATATGCGTCAAGGAAAAATAAACTCATAGAGTGATCTAATTTCCCCTTTTTTTCCCCTGGGACTTTGGACAAGAACATCATTTGAAAGTCTGTGATCATAATGGGAAGAAAAAACACTGCTGAGAATAAGGACTTTTGAGGATTCTTCTTTCGGTAGCACTGACAATGATGTGTTATTAATGTTACTTTCTTTTTCTGGAACGAGCACCCACGTTAAACTCACCCAAGAGTGGGAGCAGGTTACTCTGGAATTCGGGTAAATGATCTTATTTTTAGACTCAGCATAACCCAAAAAGGCAATAAAATTTTAGGGCAATTGCTAAACTTTTTTTTTCTCCTTTTTAATGTAGAGATAGTCATAGGGGCTATGAAAAGAAGTCTGTGTTTCTCCAGCTGAAGAATACATAAGAGGTACCTAGAGGGGATATATTGGAAATAGATTCCAGAATTCTTATTGGACTGGGTTGGTAATATTTTAGAAATAGAGACAGTTGGTGGGAAACAGTCCTTAGGGGGAGAAAGGGCTTATATAGGGGGCACCTTGTGTAGGACGAAGAATCATGCTTGACTTTGTAGACAATTATGGGTTCAAATGTCAGTTCCACAAAATTCCTGGCTGTATGACCCTGGGAAAGTGCTTAAAATCTTTAAGCCTAAAGTCCTCACTGTAATATGGTAGAAATAACACCTTCTGGCCGGGTGCGGTGGCTCAAGCCTGTAATCCCAGCACTTTGGGAGGCCGAGACGGGTGGATCACGAGGTCAGGAGATCGAGACCACCCTGGCTAACCCGGTGAAACCCCGTCTCTAC